GTGGAAATGAAAACAAGAAGAAAAGAGAAAGCTACAGTGAATGACATTTCGAATGACTTAAGTGTATGGGAGATTTGAAATTATCAAATAATTATAATAAAATATTGTAAATTGTCATGCGTGTTTCTTTTGTCACTTTAACCCAATGAACAAATGTGCAATTAACAATGGAATGGAAGAACATCACATCTTAGTTTAGAACATCAAAACTCAAGTTTATGAGTGCTTACATTTTATTGTATATTAGTTATGAAGTTTGAAATTATCTATTGTGAGACTTCTCGCATTAACACAAATTCACATACACTCGAACATTATTTACACTTAAATATTCTGAATCAAAGTAATCCTCCCTCTAGTATCTTATATTTGAGATAAATCTTAAGAAATCTAGACAAAACATGAGCTTCATTCTTCCATATTTAACAAGAATTAAATAACATATGCTTGGCCTTTATATATGGTCTTTATTATTTGACTCTGACAATGCCTGATATAATTGTTTCGGGGAGTCTTGATTTATTGACTCAAGCTTCATTACAGAACAATGCTTTTCAGCTAACAGCTTTTGTAATTTCTTGGTGGGAACCAGCAGGACCTTATGAGGTTGTATAAATCAAGGGAGAATTATATTTAAGTCTTAAATAAGAAATTAAATCAATTGATATTTTGACTAATCCACAATCCCCATCCACAGTTGATTAATATTTTAACTTAATACTCTATCATGATTACAAGTCCAAAGAGAGAGTCAATTTCAAAAGACTAACTTATTATATGAGAAAGTCTTTTATGCTTATAAATCTCACTCTACTTGTATGGCTTCTCGATATAAGACTCATGACAATGCTACTCTATTAAAGAGCTGATATCCTTAGCAACTCCACTTCACAGTACTTCACTTTACTCGGCCTTCTATTGGTCAAAACCTTTGTGGGTAGCCCATTTAAGTGACACCACCAGCCTTTCAATGGAAGTGCTCATGACATTGAGGCTTTTATTTAAACATCAGTTGACATTAATTGCACAAACTTTTCAAGTCAAGTGAAAAAGAAATAGAAGCTATCCATAAGTGTGTGTAGAAAAAGTAGAGAGAAGTTTCTATAACAACTAATTTAAGCAAAACCGAAGAAAAGTCAATATATTTTAATCTCATGCATATATAATAAAAGTAACATGAGTTAAAATCAAATTACGTCGATTAAAGTTATTACAAAGTCTTATAGGGTACCGTCTTTTGAAAAAGTATAGACAATTGATTATTAACCAACATTATTATTTTCTCAACTTAATTAGATATATCTCAAATATCTAGATACCGTGTTATTTACTTTGAATGAGTGAATGAATTTTTGTGATTCATTTTCAAGCCAATCGTGATATAATAAGGAACAATCTTCTTTTAGACAGGAATTACATACACAAAACATTTTCCAAGTCAACTGAAAAAGAAATTGAAGTAATCCATTTGCTAGTATCTGCCCATAGTGGGGGATACTAAGTCTATATACTGAACATGAGAAGCTTTTGATATTCATGTTAATATATATTTATGAATATATTTGCACCTTAACCTCAAAGTTAATTTTATCTCTATAATAAAACTCCTATTTGGGAGAAGATTTATGCAATAACCATAAGCAAGTGAGATCAATTACATGAATTATACAACTTTATTGTGATATATTAACAATTAAATATTTGGATATATTGTTAATAAGAAAATCTCGTTATTAAACTTAATAAATTATAATAAAAAACTCAAGATAATATATTTAACTCTCTACACTGGTACCTTCAACAGATTTCTTTGCATTAAAGTTGGAAACATAATTAGTTAATGCATGAAAGTAACCTTTCCAATGTCTTATATTCAGTACCAAAGAAATCCTCCCTCTTGTATCTTATTTGAGAATGGATGGAATTGTTTCTCTTTCTTTTTATTCAACATATGGGTTTTGGAGGATATATCAAATTTTTTTGCAAATAAAAGAATGAAGCAGCTAGAGATTAGAGCTTTGGATGCTATTATGATTTCTTTGTCACAATGGATTAATATTTTAACTTAATGCTCCTAGTAATAAAAGCGGAGTTACTTGGAAATAATTCAAGTAAAGCTGAAGTCTGAGTATATGGAAATAATTTTGATTTTCAATTTTTGTGGTTTGTGTCCATATTTAAATATAAAATAGAGTTCAATCATAAAAAAAATACTCCCTCCATTCAAAAATGTAAGGTATTTTTTGAGGAGTTGGATGTTTAAAAATGTAAGATATTTTTAGTTTTTCGAGGTGTAATCATTGCTTTTTTTTCCAAAAGTGCCTCTATTGATGGTGACTTTATATTTATTATAGGGTAGTTAATTGGGATAAATATGGAAAGAGAGGGTTAGTTTGAAAGTAGGTAAGAACTTTATTGGGGGGTGAGATTCAGTTAAAAATACCTTACATTTTTTAACGGATGGAGTAAAATAGAGTAAATTGATAGATATAGTGTTTAGCAGCTATGGGGCATGTTTTTATGTTAAAGAAAAGTTTTTTTTTTTTTTAGATACCGTGTTATTTACTTTTGAACGAGTGGATTAGAATGATTCAAATTAAATTCAATGCATTTGGTGCAATTTCACACTGGTCAAGTTATATATAAGGAAAAGTCTTAAACATCAATTAACATTGCTTACACAAAAATTTTCCACGTCAAGTGAAAAAGAAAAAGAAACCATCCATTTTGTAAGCACTTGCATTAAAATGATGGATTAAGTATCATTTTTGCCTCTCAATTTTACTCAAAGGGTCGCTGGACACTCTTAACTCAACTATAGATCAATTTTATCTGTCAATGTTAAATATTTCCTCCCTCATCACCTTGCTATTTACTCATTATCTGTTCACTATTATTGGGCTCAACATTTAACTTTTTTTAATTTGTTTATTATAAAATATGTCAGTTGAGGGTGTCCACTAATCCTTCAAGGTATAAAGTTGAGAGGGAAAAAAATGACAGTTAACCCAAAATTTTATAACAAAAATATATTAAAAAAGTTATAACGAAGACTTCGAAGTCAAGTAAGAAAGACCCAGGTACCCTGCAAAATCTTGTAAAATCATTTGTCTAATATTTGTGTATATCATAGCGAAGACTTTGAAGTCAAGTAAGAAAGAGCCACCAAGTTTCGTTAATTTTTTTCCTGTCATTATTTTCTTAATTTCTAGGCCATTTATATGATAGTGTGTAGAAAGTTGCACATGTCGATTCTTCAAATAAAGAAAGAAAGAAAGAAAGAAAGGCTAAAAATAATTTTAGCCCTCTAATTTTATATAAGGTTTCAATTTGATCCTTTAATTTTGCAAATTATATTTTTAATCCTTTAACCCTAATATCATTAGTTTCAAATGATTATTTCTTGTATCAATTATTGTTATTTTAAAAAAATTAAACTTAATATGTCAACATTTAAGAATGTTTTGTCAATATTTGAAAGTTCATTATAAAAATTTATTGGGATAAAATGAACAGTGTTAGGGTTAAAGGACTAAAAAGATATTTTATAAAATTAAAAAACTAAAATAAAATGATATATAAAGTTAAAGAATTAAATGTATATTTTAGTCCAGAAAAAAAGAAATCAGTCTTCGATTATTTAGTTATATAAATACATCCATACTTGCTTTTTTTTGTTCTTCAAAGACACAAGTGTGTGTTTTAGAAATAACAGAGAAGTTTCTATAGATTACGTGCACAAAATATTTTCGACAAAATCTGATAAGGAGCATTTTTAACAAATTATAGACAAAATATTAGCCACCATTAATTTGCTATAAATTAATTAGATATCTCATAGACCTCTATAAGTGTTATTTACTTTGAATGAGTGAATGGGATTCTTTTGATTCATTTCCAAGCCCATCGTATTATAAAGGAACAATATTCTTTTACACATAGATTACGTGCACAAAATATTTTCGAAGTCGTCAATAAAAAATGACAAAATATTTTCCAAGTCAACTGAAAAAGAAATCGAAGTGATTTATTTATTGTATTTAATATTTATACTAATAGCGAAAAAAGGTCTACTAGTTTTGTTGGAACTTGGCTTATCTTTGTTTATTTGTTCCTCCACTTTTTTCTTTGCACATTTTAGCCATTAAATTAAATTTTCAATGTTCCAGATTTAATATTTACAAACTATATGTTTTTATATGCTTTTTACTACAGTCCTTAACAGTTTAGATCAATTTTATGTATAATTTAGGGAAAAAATTATTTATACGAGACTATTTATAGCTAAATTAAATACATCAACAGAAAGCATGTTAGAATCATGCCTTTTATTCCTTTAAAAAAAAAATTACGGCACATATTGGCAGCAGAGTCGTTCTTTTTCCACGCTCTCAAACGAAATTTTATGGTCCTAATTAGTGACAAATTCCCACACGTCATGAAGTTCTATTTTAATTTGTAGCGAATTAAGAAATAAAAAAATATGAGATGAATTAAAAAAATTTTAAAGAGTAATAGCTTCCTTAATTTCTTAATCAACTAACACTGATTAATCAAATTTGGAATTCATTTATTTTAAACAAGTTAAGCAATAATGCGAATGCAAATTCCAGATAGCTCTCCAACCTCATCCACAATATAGAAACACAGTACTGATTTATTTTTTTTAACAAAAGTACAGAACCATTTTGTACAATGGTCGATCTTATAGTTTGAGGATACGCCAATTTAATTTGCAATAGACACAACTATTTTTACTATTCGTCCTTTGAAAGAACATTTATTGAAAAATTTTAAAGAAAAAAGTATTTAGACATTTTAGTTTAGTTGAGATTTCATGAATTCAAAAGACGAAAAACAAGACACAATAATTATAGGCTTTGAAAAATGAAAAGTCTTGATGTAGGTCCCTCGCGCCATTACGAGACTCCTTCTATAAATGAAGCTTCATCTTGTGGATGCCAATTCACTCAATCATTTCCTTCTTATGTTCTTCAGTTATGGCATTTGCAATGATGCTTTGCTTCTACTTGTTCTTTCTTTCTCCCTCCCTTTCTTCTTCTCTCAACCTGCCTTTTTGTATTTCTCATGACTCCTCTGCACTTCTCCAATTCAAACACTCTTTCTCTCTTAATCATTCTGCTTCAATCGAATGTGATGAGGATTTTGATGACTACTACCCATATACCACTCGGTTTGAGAATTCATCTTACCCCAAGATGGCTTCATGGGGGAATTATTCAAATTGCTGCTTGTGGGATGGGGTCACATGTGACTCCATGTCAGGCCATGTGATTGGCCTTGATCTTAGTTGTAGCTGGCTTCAAGGTCAACTCCTTCCAAATAATAGCCTCTTCCGACTATCTCATCTCCAATCACTCAACTTGGCTTTCAATAATTTTAGTGGGTCTTTGATATCATCTCAGTTTGGTAATTTTCCTTCTCTCACATATCTAAACTTAAGCCACTCTTTTTTCATTGGTGAAATTCCATCAAAATTTGCATATTCGTCAAAATTGGTCTCTCTTGATTTGTCTTGGAATGGATTTTACTCATTTGAGAAGTGGAGTCCTTTGAGACTAGAAACATCCACATGGGAGAAGCTCATTTTAAACATGACTTATTTGCGAGAACTTGCTTTAAATTATGTAAATATGTCTTCTATTTCACCAAGCTCCTTATCTTTACTCATGAATTTGTCATCCTCTTTGGTCTCCCTTAGACTTCAACATACTGAGTTGCAAGGGAAAATCACAAATGATGTTTTTTGTCTGAAAAATCTTCAGCAACTAGATTTGTCATGGAATAGAAATCTCAACAATCATCTTCCAATATCCAATTGGAGCTCTTCTCTTTCATTTTTGGATCTTAGTTACGCAGCATTCTCAGGAGTGTTTGATTCCATTGGAAAGTTAAAATATCTTAGTCATTTAGATCTTAGTAGTTGTAAATTTGAAGGGCGGGTTCCTTTGGGTTTCAAGAATCTTACCCAACTAACTTATTTGGACATTTCTGACAACATGTTTAGTGGCAAGATCTCATTCTTTTCATACCTAGAACATCTCACTTTCTTAAACCTTGAAGGCAATAATTTTGTTGAGGAAATCCCATCTAAGATCTCACAGTTGTCTAAATTAGCCTCACTTGACTTGTCTTCAAATTTTGGTATGAAGGGGAGTTCATCACTTAGACTTGAACTATCTACTTGGGAAATGCTGATTCTAAACTTAACTAATTTAAAGGTACTAAGGTTAGACCATGTGAACATGTCCTCTATTACACAAAAATCTTTTTCTTTGCTCATGAATTTGTCATCATCTTTGATTGAACTTTCTCTTGAAGAAACTTCTTTGCATGGTAATATCACAAATAGAATTTTCTATTTAGAAAATCTTAAATATCTAGATATGAGCTGGAATACAGATGTCAAGGTACAAATCTCAAAGCTCAACCGGAGCTCTCCTCTAACAAGTTTGATTCTCACTGGGATCCCTTTCTCAGGAAAGATACCAAATTCTATAAGCCATTTGAAGTCTCTTGAAGAGTTAGATCTCAAAAATTGCCAATTTGAAGGGCCTATTCCTCCAAGTTTCAAGAATCTCATTCAACTCACTTCTTTGGACCTTTCGTTGAACAAATTTAGTGGTGGGATCTCATTTCTTTCAACACTCGTAAATCTCACTTACATAAATCTTTCCAATAATAACTTTAGTGGTCAAATTCCATCACTTTCCAACCTTGAACGTCTCAATGACTTAGTTCTTTCAAACAATAATTTTAGTGGTGGGGTTTCATTTCTTTCAACACTTGTAAATCCGATTTCCTTATATCTTTCCAATAATAGTTTTAGTGGTCAACTGCCACTCTCACTTGGAAACCTTGAACGTCTCCAAGATTTAGATCTTTCAATAAATAATTTTAGTGGTGGAATACCAAAAGTGTTTGGAAAGCTCAATAAATTACACTCTTTGGAACTTAATAATAATAATTTCAATGGTCAAGTGCCTTCATCCCTTTCAAATACAAGTGTCACAATTCTTGATCTTAGCTTCAACAAGTTGGAAGGAAACCTCCCAATTCCATTCTTCAGAGCTAGATTTTTTTCAGTCTCAAACAATAAATTTAAGGGAGATATTTCCTTTCATTTTTGCAATGCAAGCTCAATTGAGATACTCAACTTGTCTCACAACAACTTGTCAGGTCCCATTCCACAATGCCTTGTTGCCCTCCCAAATCTCGTTGTTCTAGATCTACAGATGAATAATTTTTTTGGAACTTTACCAAACAATTTTTTAAAGAGAAATGTCCTACAAACTCTACATTTCAATAGCAACCGATTCAAGGGATCATTGCCTCTATCTTTGGCTCATTGCAATCAGCTCGAAATTTTTGATGTTGGACAGAATGAGATTGAGGATGCATTTCCTAAGTTGCTTGAAAGTTTTCCAGAGTTACAAGTGCTTGTTTTAAGAGAAAATAGATTTTATGGGACCATTCCTAATTCCAATACCAAGCATCCATTCCCTAAGTTAAGGATTTTTGACATTTCCAACAACCACTTTAATGGATCTTTGCCAACAACATACATCAAGGAGTTTAAAGGAATGATGAAAATAGATGATGTTGAAGATGGTTCACAATATATGGGAAGTAAAAATTATTCATATGAGGATTCAGTGGTGATCACATGGAAAGGTTTTACCATAGAGCTGGAAAGGATCTTGAAAATATTCGGCACTATGGACTTGTCAAATAATAGGTTGGATGGGGAGATTCCAGAAGCTATTGGAGAGCTACATGCACTAATAGGACTAAATCTCTCCCACAATAGAATCACTGGTTCTATTCCAAAATCAATGGGGAATTTGACAAGCCTAGAATGGTTAGATCTATCAAGTAACAAGCTTGTGGGTGACATTCCTCAAGAATTGACAAATCTCAACTTTCTTTCTATTTTGAACCTTTCACAAAATCAGCTTGAGGGAACCATACCAAGAGGTAAACAATTTGATACATTCCAAAGTGATTCATATGAGGGAAATGTAGGATTGTGTGGTGTTCCATTGTCAAAAACTTGCAATACGGATGGACCTTCATCAACTTTTGAATCTAATGAGAAATTTGGATTTGATTGGAAACCAGTAGCCTTGGGATATGGATGTGGAATGGTATTCGGAATCCTCATGGGACATGTTGTGTTCTCAATTGGGAAACCTCATTGGCTTGTTAAAATTTTTGGAAGTCAACCTGTGAAAGCAAAAAGGACAAGAAGGAGGGCTCATGCAAATTGAAGAAGAATGAAACAGATAGAGATTCGGGCTTTGGATGGTTTTATGAGTTTTTTTGTCTTTTTTTTTTTGTTTGGTTCTATGTTTGGCTTGTTGTATCATGTCAGTTAAGTATTGTCGTTAAGATTAGTGTATTATGTTATCACTACTTTTTGAAGGTGAATGTATTGAAGTTTAAGTATTTGAGGCCAATCATAATTGTTTTCCATGTTAATTGGCACATTTGCCACATATAATTAAGCAACTTTGGTTAGTTTGTTGGTTATTTCATTTGAATCAGCTCACCATTGAAAAAATAAATATAATTCATAAGAATCAATTATAAAAATTAAAATTACATGGGATTGATCAAAGGGTTTATATTTCATTCTTTGTATCTTTACCGCTTCCTGAACAAAAAAAAAATGTGCGACAAGGGTTTAATAAATTAGTGAGGGAAAACGATATTTAAAAACGTGTTTAACAATGATTTTATACTTAAAAAACTATATTATTTAGTTGTTGTACTTTTACTCGTTTATGATTTAGACGTTAAACTTTAACTAGTTCCACTTAAACTTTTTCAAGTTTAAGTCATTTAATAAATCAGTCCCTACAAGTTTAGAAAATATTTATTTCTGGAAAGACTAGTTGTAGTTGAGTCATAAAGTGCAAGGATCAAGAAATTAAAGAGCCTGAGTTGTATCAAATTTAATTTTATGGAATAAATTATAAGGGTGTTAAAACTATAAGCTACAAAGATTAAGGAAAGCCTATTTGATTTTAGAAAAAAAAAGAAAAAAAAAACTCACGTGAGTGCGATTGTGGATTTAAAAACAAGGACATGTGATCAAATCTTGCGATGTGAGGACTGTCAATGAGCAATTTGTATGTACTTTTATAAGAGTTTTTGTGTCTTAAAACTCTTATAAAAGTACATACAAATTTAAACTTTTTCTTTTATATAAAAAAGTTAAAATATACTTTTGATCTTTTAACTTTATACAATATTTCAATTTAATCCCTTAATTTTATAAAATATCTTTTAAGTCTCTTAATCTTAACATCGTTAGTTTCAAATGGTTATTTTGTATGCTGATCATTGTTATTTTAAGAAAAATCAAATTTAATATGTCCACATTTGACAATGTTTTGTCATTATTTAAATGTTTTGTCTCCACACTATATACATCTTCTTCCTCTTTATGACAGAACTATCTATGAGCAATTACAGGTATAACCCCTTGGTGTCTACAATCTTGCAAGCTACTCTATAATAACCCCTTAGTTACCTACTCAAGGTTGTAGAAAGATAATTATTTACCCCTCATTTTGCTACTCTATGCATTATTTACAATAATACATAACAATCAAGTAATCTAGCATTATTACAAAAAAAAAAATTATAGGAACACTCTAATGAGTGCGCTTTTATAGAGAAATGCTCCTAAAATTTGAATCGGAACCTATGGGAATGCTTATGGCGCTCTGCCAGGTCTTTCCTTCCAAAATGCTTCCATGCATAACATATAAAGCTCTCTAGTAGGCGCACATGAAATTGAGAAAAAAAAAACACATTTCTATCGGAGCATTTATGAAAGAAGTGCTCCAATAGGATAACAACATATCAGAGCACTTTTATGTAGAAGCGCTTTGGTACGCCAATAGAAATTGGGTTAGAATAATTAATTTCCTGATAGAAAATGAGAGAATCCAAATCCCAGAATTTGTTTATTCGCATTATGCATTTGTAAAGGATACAGGGACCGTGTCATTAAAAAAAAAACTTTTTTTTTTGACAGGGTCTAGTTTCTTTCTATAGGTCTTCCTTGCTTTTTCTTTGTGTTGGACCAAATCTTCCGTAGAAAATAATGCATTTACTATTTGTAGTCGTCGGAGGATCCTGTAATTGATAATTTTCATCAGCATATCGCACATCACAAGAAAAATCCTCTATAGTTATTGGAAGACATGAGTAGAAAATACTTCAGTGTTCATCTTTAGAGCAAAGTGCTTTTCCATCCAATTTTGCAAGTCGCTTTATAAAATAATGCATCATGTGTTTATCATTTTGCCAACTTTGTTTTTGGCCATCAAATCTTTTTGCCACCTTTAACGAACCACTCAAGTCCAATAAGACTAGCTAGTTTTGTCATTTAGTGTTTTTAATCTAAAAGTCTAAATATTAGTTATTTGCAATTCTTTGTAAATTTTAAATTATTTTTTTTTAAAAAATCAAGTTTCTCTAATATTGTAAAAAACAATGTTCTCATCACCGAAATAGAAAAAAGATTAAAATTATTAAAAATTTCAGGAACGATGTGTTTTTGTGGCCGTTCGTAGAAAATTATAGGAAATGCTTTTGGGAGTTGATCCTTTAATTCATCTGAGGATTGATTCTCTATGTTATTCTAAAAGTCTGAATTTTAGTTATCAGAACTCATCTGAGGATCGATCCTTTAATTCATTTCATCATGCATGTCGATTGCGTCACAAGAAAAAAGCCTTTGGCTTTGGGAGGCGTTGTAGAAAATAAAGCATTCACCTTGCATATTTTCAAGTAGTGTTTGTCTTTGGAACTAAGTGCTGTTCTTCCTAATTTTCCAAGTCTTTTCAGAAACTAATGCATTTACTTTTCTGACAAAAATTTTCCATTAACTTTCCAACCTTGAAATCCTTATTGATATAATTACTTCACTGTTTTTTATTACATGGATTTGAATCTTGATTTGCTATGTTGTGAGGAACTAGTATCTTTTGCTAAACTCAACCCTCGTTGGTAATTATTTCACTGTTTTTTTTTTCATGTCATCATTCTATTTTTGTCTTTTTCTTGGAATAAGGAGTATTGCTAATTTTATAAGCCAAACTTGCTAACTATATAATGAAAAAATAAATAAATAGATATATACTGTTAAAATCTGATTTGAGCATTTCACTAATGTAAACTAACTGTAGACTATGATTAATATATGAATTTGACTAAATCTCAACTGTTGAATTTTTAATCCATGGGTGACTATGAGATGAGGAGAAGAAGAGGAGAGAAAGGATAATGAGATGATCCAAATCCGTGGATATGCAACAACCAATGCCAGCATTGGTTTGAGAGATCCAATGGTTTACATTTGCAATTGCCATGGCTATTGAATCAAGAAGTCAATTTCTGGTCGTTATATTTTGTTGGATTGGCTTTGCACTGCACCCATATGCAGAGAATATGAATCCCAATTTGCAGGAGTCTCATACACTTTGTGATTGCCTCTCTAAAAGATATCATTTGATTACTGAAAAGAAATGGAATAAAATGAATTAAAAAAATATATTTAAAATTAAAATGATTGTGGAGTAAAAATAAATTAACCATGTTCATAGAAGCGAAGGGTAATTTATTTTATAAGATTGAGAATCATTCATAAGATTTGTGGAGTACATGGTGATTCTTATGTTTGTAATATGTGGTATTAGGTTTTATCATATTTATTATAAGTGGGAAGGTGATTTAATTCATTTTTATTTTTATTTTTTTAATCCATTTCATTCTATTTTCTCCAGCAACCAAATGAGTTCTTAATCTCTGAAGAAATCCAAATGACCCATATCCTGATGTAATCTTGTTTGAGTTTCCGATTTTTTCTTCATGTGGCTGATCAGCATGACTTGGTTTGGTTGTTATGTAGGTGTTTTTATGACATTATTGTTCAGGTCTATGCAAAGAGTAAAGAAGATTGATAAATTTGAGAAAATGATATAAATAGACACCGATCAAATTCATCTGATAAAAGGTTAATAGATCACAGTTTTCATGATTTAACTTTTTTTTTCTTTTGATAAAAGAGCAATTATATTCACATGGCTATTCCAAAAAGTGATGTTCTAAATGCTCATCATTTGAATTGCTTCCAGCATTGTGTTTTTGGTTGTGACACACAAGAAACCAATCATTAAAGCAATCTGGTTTCAAGCTCTGTCTATAGTTATTGAGATCATTAAACCAACAAATATTTCCAGTTCAAATGTGATCATTCACGCGAGTGAGATACACACACATCCACGCAATGGATTAATATTTTAACTTCATGCTCACAGTAATATAAGTGGAGTTACTTGAAGATAATTCAAGTACGCTGAAGTCTGGGTATATGCAAATAATTTTGATTTTCGATTTTTGTGGTTTGTGTCCATATTTAAATATAAAATAGAGTTTAATAAAAAATTATAAAATAAAGTAAATTGTTAAATGTTAAAGAAAATTTTTAATTTTTTTATATACCGTGTTATTTACTTTTGAATGAGTGGACTAGAATGATTCAAATTAAATTCAATACATTTGGTGCAATTTCTCACAGGTCACTTTATAAGGAAAGGTTTTGACCATCAATTAACGTTGCTCAATTACCAAAAAAAAAAATCCATGTCAAGTGAAAAGAAGAAGAAGAAGAAGAAGCCATCCATTTTGTAAGCACTTCCATTAAAATGATTTTCAAATTTCAAAATTTATCCACAATATGTGGACCCTGCTAAAGCTTGTAAAATCATTTGTCTAATATTTATGTATATTATAGCGAATACTTTGAAGTCAAGTAAGAAAGAGCGCCCTAGTTTCGTTAATTTTTTTCTGTCGTCATTTTCTTTATTTCTGGGGTCATTTATATGTGAAGAAAATTCCATCCTTGCTTTTCTTTGTTCTTCAGGGGGAAAAAAGAAAGAAAAAAGAAATCTGTCTTCAAATATTTAGTTATATAAACACTTCTGTCCTTGCCTTTCTTTGTTCTTCAAACACACAAGCGTGCGTTTTAAAAATAAAAAAGAAGTTTAATTCTATAATAATTAATTTTAGTACAAACTGAAAAATTTATTGTGTGTGTATATATATCATTCACATATATAATAACAGTAAGCCAAGTAACATAACAGATAATTAAATCTGGTAAGGATCATCTTCTAACAAATTATAGACAAAACATAGCCATCATTAATTTGCTCAACCTAATTGAAAGAAATAGCCACCACAGTATAAGTAA